TACAGAGATATGTACACATAAGAAAAACATACATTTAATGCCCGAACACAGATGCACGTTCATACGTGCTACGTACATACGCGTATTCGAAAAAACTGCCAATATGCATGTAAGATAATTACAGCGATGAGTCTTAATACTCTGTTCGCAATTACGATCATCCTTCGATTGTTAATAGGTAAATTGATCTAATTAAAAGAGTGGGATTAACGCGCCTTTCGGAGTATCTGGATGATCTTCGTGAATTTTAAGTCACATCGATATTGGTTATATTTAATATCCATTCGGAGTGGAAATTTGTCTCTCATGTATATTTTGATATAATTATTGACAAAATAGGTCAATTATTTGAGAATAAACATGAGAAGTTATAGATTTATAAAAATATCGGTTTAAAAAATTTGTGTTTTGTGATGAATTATTTTTCATATGATTAAGTACTGCAATTGTTTAAGTACTGAATACCGCATTATTTGCTTAAAGCGTTTAACATGTTGAGTGATAAATACAAGTATTTGAAATATTGATCGAATTTTGATGTTCTACATATTGGTATACATTATTCATGTATCGTATGAGCACATTTTTGCCATTATTAAAGATTTTAATTAGCCAACGTTTTAGTTAAATCAACCACTAATTTTGATTAATTTTGTTTTCCTTTTGTCTATAAAATTAAAATAAAACTTCAGCAACGTGTTTACATACAATAAACACTCAACATATTAAAATCAAGAGCACGAATTTTATATGCATTCGATTTGACATGATTCATCATCTCGACAGCTCTGATAGCGACACATTCCCATCTTTTAATATAAAATACATATATTTTGTATCAGACGGAGAAACGCGGTGGACGAACAAATTAAAAAAAAAAGAACAAAAATTTAATTTGTAGCATATAAGAAAACAAAAATAAAAGAGCATGACAGATTGTTAACGATGCAAATACCGTATATACTCAACAGTATAACATTAATCTTACAAAGTAATAACTCAAACATTTAAAAACAAAAACATATTCTATCAACAGATGTAAATTACACGCATAATTGTAAAAATCGAATAATAATAATTCGAATAGACGGTTGTGTCATTGAAATGTTGGTCGAATAGGATCACGAAATTGGTCGGCTCGTATGCGAAAGAGAAAAGAGAAAAGAAAACTTATATTATTAACGCGACAAGAAATTAGTTAAGTATGATTTATAATATTTTCATAAAATAAACAATATAAGAATAATAATAATTGTTATATAATAGTCAAAAATAGAGAATGATATTAATAATACAAAAATTATCTATCTATTCATTTACATTTTTTAAGATACAAAAAAAAGTCTTTGTGTTTATATCTCTTATACAAAAAAATTATAACATTTTATAAGCTTTGTTACTGAAATTTGCAAGTACTTGCAACTATTTTGACAAATGTTAAAAAACATTTCGGACGTTTTTGCATTTTGCCAACCAATTAGTATTCAATTAGGTAAATAGCATAATAATATAACGACTATAAGAAACGAAAATAAATCATTCGTTATAAGTACATTATTCCGTACTGTTATAATAGAAACTTTGTTTATAGAAGTAACTATCTCAAATAAGTGATCCTTATTTGACCATTCATTAATCGCACAGATATACGATTTGTTTTTACAGTACATAATTCTTTATATATTAGCGTCCTGTAAAAACGGATATAAAAGTATTAAGATGATTCTGATTCTGACCTAAACTAATAGTCTGCCATTGTTGTACTAAATTTGCGAGCAATCAATATTAGCAACAATAACAATAAGATGGTAATCGCGATTGCTATCGCGCGCAAAGTGCTAGTAATAATATATATAAAAGTAATAGAAGTAAGTCATAATAATAATAAATGCCAATGGTAATATCGCTGTCATTGGCAGGATACTATTAATATAAACATATAATATTAGTAATAAAATAATAATGACCATACAGTAATAATAGAATAGTAGCAATAATAAGAATTCTTATAATAATAATAATCAAATTAGAATAACAGATATAACTAATAAAGATAAACATAGCAATAATAATAGCCATAATAAACATAGTACTAACAACAGTGTCAACGCACGTGCTGAAGAACAGTGATGAAAATGATACGAACATAGAAGCATCTTTCAATCATTAAACGATATATTTGTGACTAGGCTCTATTTGTATATACGCACAAGACTAATGTGTACGCGTGCTCATTTCCTATTGTTAGTTAATCCATTATCGATTGGTGTTAACCGTCTACGCTATAGTTTAAATGTTAAATATTAAACTATTTTTCTTTTTATAAAATTTATAATATTTTACATATAATTTTGAAATACTTATACAGCACAAATATTTAAGAGACATTCTAAAGACGTCCATAAGATGTCCTACACGCTGAGAACGTCTCTAGCATATCCCTCGGATAAAGTGTGCTGTATGGGATATATTTGCTAATTACATGTATAGCAATCATTTGTACGCATATCAAAAAGCTATTTTGAAGCTTTATGTGGCTCTTGCCGATTGATTTATATACTGTCTTTGAATAGTTTGGAATTTATGATTTATAGTTTCAAATATTTGTTAAAATTTATACTTAAATCGATTTAAAATATAACAAAATAATTTTTTAATTTTTAGTATTTTTATATATATTAATAAAATATATAATATAACGTTTTATGTTTTTTAAATACACATAATTCAATAATAAACTTAATAACTTGAATTTATCATTCATCACATATGAGGCAATAATACAGATATTCTATACGTAAATAGTTCTTATTCAAGCGTAGACATTCAACACTGGTTTGGGTTAGTCATTAGTATTGTGTAAGTACATCAATTAATTAAAGACACATCTTTGGTAATCTGTACGGAGCACGACGTTGTCCACTACTCAAAGATAATAGCAAATGTTAAATAAAATTATCCATTTGCATACAATTTACCTGTAATGACGCCAATGCTCCGTTTATTTGGTCTGACGTATGTGTGCATATTAATGTTGTTGATGACAAAACAAGACTATGTACACTTAATCGTAAATGACAAGTAATTATAATGCGGAATAACAGAAATTATTCTGTTTTCCAGGATATCTCAAACAATTATATATAAATTCATCTAATATATATATAATATAAATGATAAATGAGCTATACGATGACATTATTCTAGCTTACTCATTATTCTTTGAAATATAAAATATTTCAAAGAAAAATATAGTAATGCAATATACAACCATCATTTTCAACAGATAACAAAAATAGTTACTGTCATTTAATAATTTAGTGCACGCAAACTTGTTTTGCAATATAGACAAGACTATGCGAGAAAAAACAAATCAAGGGAAATGTATTTTGTCAAAGTGAAAGTGTGGATTGTAACTATAAAAAGTGACGATAATAGTAAGAGGAAGTTGCATAAGATTGTAGATATCATAGCGGGTCGCTTGGATAATATAGCAGGCAAATTCTACAAAAAAAAACGAAAATTTAAAAGTTTGAAAGATGAAGATGTTTTATAGATGTTTTCAGGTAGTTTTTAAATTCTTTTTCTCTCTTGTTTCAAATGTGTTTCGTATAAAATAATTAAATATTTAGCATTTTATGAATCATTTTGATATCTCTGAATATTAATTGATCAGAACTCACTCCAAGTTTAAATGAATTTTTTATAACTTAATATTATTCAAAATTGATTATAAAACTGTTTTAAAGAATCAAAATATTAATTGAATACAACTTGAATACAAATTTTGTTTATTTATATTTTTATTATAATATATGAGATCCAAATAAACAAAAAAATAATACTTTCAAAGAAAATGAATTATATATAAGAGAAGAAAGTTTAACTCAGATTTTACAAAATATTAATTCTTAATATGTGATGTAATTCAATTACACATTATCGATTTAAAACTGTCTGACATTTCCATGTTAAATTAATATCCACGAAAACATTTTTAATGCCAATACTTAAATTGATTTTTTTATAATCATCAATTCCGTATATATATCCTTGCATGATCTTGATTTAATTCATTCGAATACAATCATCGCACAGTTTTGTCATGAAATCAATTTTCGTGATATTCGTCTAACTAAAAATAGTGATTTATCACGTTGAAAATATATTTCATTCTAAATTTAAATCTTATCTGCACTTAAAAGCAAGCTTGTAAATCTATTTTATTCAAAGTCAATTGCATTAATTGCAACATAAATATACATTTGTCTTCTCTCGATAAGTTATAATAAGAATTGTGATCATCGTTTTAGAAATAATGCAAAAAATAAATCTTACATAGAATTATGTTTCTTTTGCTTGTTAATATTTTTAATTATCCGAAATTAATAAATCGGTTCATGATCGATAAAACTTTCAAAAAATCAAAATGTATTTCCGATTACTTCCAAGAAGCAAATTCATATTCAATGTCAAGAATGAATTATCTTAAAACATATTGCGTGATGCACTTATTCGAGTACGTCTCTTCCTTCTGATTGCGAAATTGTTTCGCAATTATTATAGTAATCCATTTTGTCTTTTCGTATTCAGATATCACTTGATAAGAGACTTTTACTTTGTTGAATCAATGCAGACAACCTGTCCGATCGATCTCATATCTAATTTTTTCTAAAATTAATTGCACAAAGTGCAATTTATTATTTCGACGAAGAAGACGATGCAAATGTACGGTCGGGAAACTCGTCCGATATTAAAATTCATTAAAAGTTTGTCGCATCTTCTGTACTTGACTATATTCGTGAAGTGTCTTGATAACGATATAGAATAATTGAATGCACAAATGTGTGACGCCTGATGTGTTTATTCCTGAGCGATCCGGCCCAGTTTCAGTTTGAGACCACGGTCCCCTATACGATACAATCTTATCACAAAGTCATTACTACAAAATGTCTCTTATATTCGTTTCTTTGCTATCTATCGGTTTTTTTTTTGTTTAATTCTTTGTATCCGTTTCGTTTTTGGTATATTTGCACGATTTAAACCTAAGAAATCGCACGCGCGTCGGTCCCGCACGATCATTGTTCGTCCTTTCGCGTTTCTCTTTCCGCCTCCATCTCTCGTGCTTCTTCATACATACATTTATCTCGTTTACACGTCCAATTTGCCGCGATACATACGCACATATGCATATGCATATTTATGTATAAACAGGCGGTGCGACAGCGATCCCGATAGTAGAGCCGATAAAAATAGTTCTCAGTCGATAATTCGATTTATGAACATGTATGTATAACTATGTATATGTATAGTTATGTATAAGAAAAATTTCTCGCACAGCTCATTCGCCACACGTCCCTCGCTTGTTCTTTTGTCCTCTTTCACCGTGAAACGTAGAGCATCGCCTACCGTTAATTAACTATAAGAATCCTCATTGCGCTCTCAAACACACGCACATACCATACTCACGTACACATATATGTGTATGTACATATATGCATGATATATTTATATATCTGTATATACATAAGGGGGAGGGGAGATTGGACAGACAGTTAACATAGCGCGTTAGCTTCGTTCGAGGAACCCTGGTCGGTCGTCGGTGCATCGTCCTCCTTTCTGTTCCACTTTCTCAGCCTTCTTCATCGCGCTCCTCCACATTTCATGTGCACTTTCTCGGCCATAACTTTCATTTGCCCAGCACCGTGAATTCTTCTGCATGTCCGAGGATTCGTCCAGTGTTTTACATGCGCAGCTGCTATCAGGAGGACAAGCAACCGTTCGGTGCGATCGCGAAGTATGAACGATGTCGCGACTTCGTGGATGGCGGTATGGGCGCAAAAGAGGTTGAGGAGATGAGATGAAGAGATAGAGAAGAGGTCAACAAGGCGGAGGATCTCACGGCAGAAGTGAGAGCGCGTGGGCGGGTGTTGTTCTTTGTACAGGCACCGACAGACACAGATAGACTGATCGAGAGACTGACCGGGGAATCGTGACTGATCGATCGACCGGTCGAGCGAACGACCGATACTGATTTGACTGACTGAGACTGACATGGCACGGCGACTCCGATCGAGAGTACACGGTCACAACGTCACAGGCCACCTGCTGGCACACAAACAAACACACGGACATGTTAGTCACCACCACACACCAGATATGAAGATTCATCCCTGGGCAAACGCGCGCGGTGGTGGTTTTTCCGAGGTCCCGCAAAGACCTACTATGCCCAATTGTCTTTGCAGACATGCATTTTAGATAACGGATAACAACAATCATACGAATTTTTTATTCCTTTGTTATTATCTGGCACAAAACGAACATGTAGCACGGTATGATTAGTTCCTTAAAAAAGAGGACTTAACGGATTAAATACGTGTTATCAGAAACTAAAGTTATAATTTTATTTTTTACGAAATGACTTTGAAGTATTGCTTTGCTGCGTTATAATAACGCTTCGACAAAATATTTCACAAACTGCATATCTGATAAGAGAACTGCACACAGAAACAGAACGACGATCAGAATACATTAAAAAGTATATACATTCAAACGAATTATTTGCGGGACCTCCAAACCGATGACACCGTGCATCGTGTACACAGGTAGTTTACCGAATCGTCCTTTTAAAACACGAACAACGAGCGTCCACTTTAATTCAGCTTGACAGACAGTCACAAGGAAAGAGAAACAAAGTGTTCGACAGCGCATTTGTGAAAACTCGTTGCTAATGCAATTAGTGAAATTCGCCAATGGTTTCCAGATTCAGATTACAGAGGACGACTGTAACAGTCATACAAATTACACATAGTATTTTTTATAGCAGTTTTATATTCAAAAGTTGTTTGGTATCAATTGTACTAAACTCAAATCATGAATAAAATAATAATGAATAGAATGTTTGTATTGAACATAAATTACACTTTTTTACTTTCATGGAAACAACTGACTTGTCCACCGCCCATGACGATCGGTTGCATATATTCCTCCCCCCTCCCCCCAAAAAAAATCACATGGCAATGTTAGTATTACTAACTAATAAAGCATCGTAGCGTGATTAACCATAGAAAAACTTAGTGATATTATTATCACGTGAGAACGTATCGAATTCTGTGCGTCTCGAACAATAAACGAAGGAGATACACGCGATATAATAGCTGCTGACATAATTACAATGAGTGAGATATATAGTTCTTTGTGTTTATCGCTCGTATTTGCTGGTTCAATTACCAGCTCAAACTACTGTGGTTATTGATATAAAGAACAAGATAAAGAAATTAAAAAATAGAAAGAGATAAATTACAAAAAAATTATAGAAAGAAAAAACAGAGAGAAAAGTCAAATCATCAAATGGTTACGAGGTACGGACTCGAACGCTGCGTGAAAATTCAAAGCGAACTAGTCTTACCCTCCTAGGGGAAAAGCTACGTTGTTAGTGAACTTCACGTACGTAATTTCACTTTGTGCAACAGTAAGTTAGCACAGAAAGCTTTACTGGCAGCCTTTGCAACGAAATGTAGTTTGATTGCATCATCTAGGAACGTGCCGCCAGGCTTGCACCTTCGAGATTCGAAGAGACGAACATATTTTCGAGACCGTGCGATAAGTACAGGCAGATATTACGGGTGAATATTTGAAAGACCCGTATTATATCATTGCGCATTTAGCGTACAAACGTGGCTATTCGATTTCCACTGTGTGCTTATATTATGTATGTTCTTCGTAACTAAATGAACCGAATCCAGAAGTGAATGAGCACGTTTAACGCTAAATGCGCGCCGCTAAGGCCATTCCTAGGACAAGATTTTAACCCGACACGAACTTTAACCTGTAAATCGAGTTAAATTTAAACTCGAAAAATTTTTAAACATCTCGGTATAAACGGAGAATGTCTAGAGCCGTTCTTTTTAAAAGCTAAATACCGATTCTATATTTTGTGACGGCAAAAGTCGAATTAGGAGATTCAAAATGAATAGATATTTCACAATCACATTATGAAGCTTTTACATGCAAATTTCTGTCTTTTATGAAAGCGCAATAAAATATTCGCATATTTCTTGCATGCAAAATCCCTTTTTTAACGAGAATATAAATAATACTCAACATATATATCAAAATTGTTTATAATTCAATGCGCAAAAGCGCTTTTAATATAAAAAACAATTCATTTAATTCATAAAAGAATTGGTTGCAAATGTTTACTATTAATCTTGATTAATTATATCTCGTCAGATTCACTAAATCTGAATGAGCTCTAGAAATACCGGTCATAGTCTCTGAAATCGATCATCATTGGCTACGAAATCAAATGGTCCGATATAATAATGAACTAATACTAATTCGTTAATCCTATTCCGTCTCCTGTTAAAAATTATTGAAATGGATTATCAAAAAAGCAGGATATCTATGTATATTTAACTCGGCACTGGAAGAGTTAACAGATGATATACGATTGCAACGTGGCACGGACGTGAACGGAATAGACAAATTGTTGGATTAAAAATGTACTGAAAGTGTTCACACATGGGCGGACCGGCAGGTAGAAGAGAGAAGACAATTCGGCGGGACAGTTCGCACAAGCGACACGTTAAAAGAATAAATTACGTTCCTGCACCTCGGAAGAAAAGTCAGTCCGATGGAGACAAGAGAGTCTTCTGGATTATCACAGCCTCGTTTCGATAGGACGGCGAAGGTGTCGAGCGGCGACGTCTCCTCTTCGGCGTCCGAGAACGCTCGATTGTAGCCCGTTAACTCGCTACCTTCGTGGAAAATACTGCTTGACTAGAGAGTATTGTGGAATACGGCCACCTAATACTTTCGCTTGTCTACCTAGACCTATCGCTAGACGCGATTCCGCTGCGGAATAATCAACCATCGCGGTTGTTAATTAAATGCGCGAGCGTCGTCCAGACTAAGGACGTCGTCGAGCCAAGGTGTCCGAGAAGTCCTTGGTATCTACCTACGAACGTTCTGTGACGTCAGCTAGTACGGCTTGCAGGCATCCTTGGACCGTTTCAACTGGACCTTCAGTCGCTTCATGCCAATCTGGAAACCGTGCATCGTTTGGATCGCTGCTTGCGCGCTCGATGCATTGTCATACGATACGAAACCTAAAACAATATTATAAGATACATAGATTCTATTCATCTGTATTACGTCGTTTCACTCGTATTCTTCACAAAATTTATCTGTATATTCAAACATTCTTTTGTTATTCAATGTTAATTCAACTTACCAAAGCATTTACTCATGTGCGTGTGCTTATCTATGAAAACTTTGGCGGATATGACATTGCCGAAGGGTAAAAAGGTAGAAATGAGGTCTGTATCGCTGAATTCTTGCGGTAGGTGATATATAAAGAGGTTGCAACCTTCGGGACCCTCGATTTGCTTGTCCGTGCTGGTGAACTTGGTCTTCTGTGCTGCTGCCGCCGCAGCGGCTGCAGCCGCCGTGAACGCGGGGAACCCTGAAATCCGAATATGTTGATGATGCTCTCGCTATATCATCAATCGCGGGGAATACAATCCCAGTTGTATATTTTTCGAAGTGATATAAATCGCATGTTAAAAACTTATCTAAAAACAATGTATATTTTTGAATAAATAATTTTAAATGTAATCAGATCTTAATTCTACTTAACTATGCATTTCTCAAAACTCGATTTATATCACTTCATGATGAACAGTTCCTGTTCAATACAACTCTATACATTGGCTTGGCACGTCCCAGCTTACAGAGACACACCAAACAGACTCTGATTTGAATTTATCTGATCGCTTCAGTCTACTCTGAATATAATAAGTAAATAAGCACGTTATACGATAAATAAAATGAGAAATTAAATATTCAATGATTTATTAAATATATACATACAATATTATATATATATGTATATATATATATATATGTATATGTATATATATAAGATGCAATGCAATTTTATAAGCTCTCCAATATTTGCAACCGTGGTATTATAACACACACATTTTCACTTGTTCAATTCTCACGAGTGTATCTTGTGCGCTGGGATACGTGGATATTCCAATAGGCACATGCGAACCTATCGGTTGTTTTTCTTTCAAGCATTCATTTGGTTCACTTCCATATTCCGATACTTCCAGCACCTAATTTGCTTTAATCGCAAATTAATTGGTAAGTTTTAAAATCTCGCATATCCGTATTGATTTTATATAATATTCGATAGGAAAGGTATAAAATTATATAATCCAAGCTGACGCTAAATGTGCAGATATTAAATGTGCGAAGATTAATGTTAAACGCAAAAGGCTTCTATTTTTTATTTAAAAAGATAATTATTACCTCAATATCTCCTTCTCTTTCTCTCTCTCTCTCTCTGATATTTACTCAAATTTTAATATTATAATCGTATTTCGTAACGTTAATCAGATTGTCTTGAATATATTGTATGATAGTTTCGTATCGTGATACACGACACATTAATGCGAAAGTCAACCATATGAAATACTTGACTAAAACTTGGGACAATCCACAGAAATATATATTCAGGCAATCTACTTATTACTCACTATGCAATTCTTTCTTTTCCACGGTCACCGTCGTCTTTCCAATGAGAGCTTTAATGCGCACAGTTTACTTATTAGAAAGTAACCCTTTGCGTGTTCACACGGATGCAGAAAAGCAGTGTGTGGACTGCGCTTAACGATTTTCTGTGTACATTGAAAGTTGCTTGACAAGCCAAATGATTACCTGCATACTGTTGTAAGCTAGAATAGGCGTTGCTCAGCGAATCCTGAAGTCCGTTTAACGGCGTTCCCGTCAAGGAATTGAGCGTGAGAGATGTTACAGGACTAAGACTGCCCCCGGTAGACCCTTGAAGACGAATACATATTATTTTTTATCTATTCTCAATTATAAATTTCGATACGCAAGCCTAATTATTTCTAAGGCACTTCTCACGTGCTGCGACATCGCAAGAACGTCAGTCGCTCTGAGTTTGTTATTATTAAAGGCAGAAAGCAACGTATTTGTGCAATATATTAATTCTATCAAGTATTATTATTCGGTATTTGTATAAAAAAATTTATTTAAAAGAGAAACAAGATCAATTTTATTCAAAGATGTACTCCTTATGATATTTGATGAATCTTTCTCCCTGTCTATTATATTAATTAATTTAAAAAATTGAATTTACAATTAAAAATTTAAAATTTTAATTATAAATAAATTATATTTAAAATTAATACAATAACGAAGCTTGTAATAACAATTTGTCATACTTTTATTTGAGTCTTAATTAATTAAATTTAAATAGTGAATAAATATTCATATTTTTAAAGTTATTTTTAAAAACAGGAAATATACAAAAAAAGTTATATAAATAGTGACCGCAAAATCGGTGAACTTTTATCCTTTCTTTGATCCTGCTATTTTAAAACTGAATTGTGTATCAAACATCTTATGATGAGACATCAATTACAAAAAAATTTCAAGTTGAGACTAGAATTGATTTAAGAGATAAGAAGGGTCAAAGTTTATTAAAGCATTAGCCTACATGCTTTGAAGCATGAATTTTTATGTCAGTCCCATATCTCTTATTTTAGCTTTAACTTAAAATTTTTTTGTGATTGATATCTCATCATAGAGTATTATTTGATACATAATTCATTTCCAAAATTGCAGGACCAAAACAAGCTATTTTTGCGATTACTCTTTAAAATATGCATGAATGAATAAATTTACAAACGTTTCAGTACGACACATACAAAATACTTCGTTTGACAGGAACTTAATTAGTATTTTAATAGTTTAAATTTTAAAGAGCACAAGAGTGTCATACTTCTTTGATATTGAGATAAAAATTCGCTATGTAACAAGATATTAATGATTTAAATATAATTTAAAAGTGTAATATACCTTCATGCACGATAATATATAAAAAATCACGCGCTACTATACCCGGGTTAATTGCGATAAGCGTTTTATAAAAAAGTTCTGCTCTTCTTTTTCATTATGCACAGGTATTGTTACCGATTAAATTCTTATTATGGAAAATCGTGCACCCATTAATTGCAATAAGCGTTTATGCAAGAATCGTATATTCCCAATACGTCTCAAATATACACACACAATAATTTAAATCATATATACATATTGTTAAAACTACAATTAACAATTGATAGAGAATAAAAATCTGTACGTTCCTAAAAGCACTGACGAAGTCCCGCCAATTAATGTATTAATTCAATATGTGAACATTTTTACAATTCAATGTGCAGTACCAATCAGTTACTAATTGACTCGGTTATTCATATTCGTGGATGAAATATATACATATGTACAGGATGTTATAGAACTATCGTTGTACGATTTTTCAGCTTACAAAATTCAATAATTTGACGTTCATTACAATTTGCTTTAGCGACTTTAAACTCTATTTCCTTATTATTTTAAAAAATATTCGTCATACAACATCTTCTGATTTGTATTTGAATTAAATTTTAAAGTAAAATTCACAATTAAAAAAATAAGAATTTACTATTTTGTTTCATTTGCAAGCATTTTGGTCATAAAAATCTATAATTTTCAATTACATGAATCTATTTTAATGCCATAAATAAATGGATACAAGATACCTTATACATTAAAAAATTTTTTTAGACTTTTATCATTCATATATGAACACTATCACACTATGATGTGTACAAAATTTAAAATATAATATTGTTTGAAGCAAGAGAGGCTCGTACGTTAATGAAATCTATAGCCAATAATAATTATCAATATTGCATCACAATATACAGAAAACAATATTAAAAATATATAAATGAAATAGAAAGGAAAAACGACGAAAAAGGAATTTGAAAGGAAGATATATAATGTTGCGATATACGATAAAGAATGCGAATCAGCCAAACAATTTCTCTTCCTATGAGTATCTCACCTGTATTTCCTGTTTTTCCCAGAAGAGCAGCTACGCACGAAAAAAAAATACGCAGCGTTAAAATTGAGATGTACATTCACATAAAAGAAAATAAAGAAACGTAAAATACGCAATTATAATATAATTTGTTATGACATATTTAATGTGATATAAAAATAATAGAATATTTCTGCCTGCAGTTAAGATTATATTGTATACAAATTTACATAATAGCGTAAATACAAACTTGAGAGTTAAACAGCAAATAAATATTAATTCTTTAAGAAAAATATTTTACAATATGCTCTTATGTAAATTTCTATGTTATGTGTAGTATTACTATACAAGGTGTCCAACTTTAATCTATCATTCCTTTTCTTTTCATAGGATAAGGTTGAATTAAAAATATGTTCAGACAGAAAGTTGTGTAGCTCCACGAAGCACAAATAATAAAATCAATTTTCAAAAAACTCGATTTTCATGGATGTGAAGGTTATTTTTTTTAATGGAATTGTATGATTTGTTTACATATCATAATACTCCAATAATTGTTCTACGTATAAAAATATATTAAGGTAAAGATATTAAAGAATTAATAGTTAACGAGATATATATTTTATACTTCATTCTGGCATATTTTGAAATAAAATATAAAATATCTCGTAAACTATTAATTTTTCAATAATCGTATCTTAATATTTTTATGCATATAAGAATTAGACAAATTAATTGATAAAAATACATATAATTGCTTAAAAAAAAAATGCAATTTGCAATATGCAACTAGAGGAAGGGAAAGAGTTACGAAATAATATTTTATTTTATTAAAATAGTACAGTAGATTACTCAGGTGATACAATTAGTTTTGTATAAGTTTTAATCATAGGGCATAGAGTGATACTAATTATACAGATATACGGAAGTTCTTATATATTATAGGTATATAAAATTCTTATGCATAGAATAAAATAGAATATAGAATAGGCATGATTAATTATCAAAAAATTAATAATTTATAGGATATTTTATACTTCATGTCAAAATGTGCCAGAATAAAATATAAAATATTTTGTAAAGTATTGATTTTTTTATATCTCTATCTTTATATGCAGAATAATTAGAGAAATCATTATGTAAAAAAAAATCATACAGTTTTATTTTAAAAAAGTAGCTATGACCTTCATATGGTTATGCTAAATCGATTTTTTCGAAAATCAATTTTATCATTATTTGCGTCCCCTCAAACCATACAACTTCTGTTCGAATATTTTTTATTAGGCCTTAGAGTTTATCATGCAAAGATAAAAAAGATGATAGATTAAAATAAAAACACTCTGTATACTGTGATTTTAATTTTTCAATAATTGTATACGTTTAATTCAATTATATTTATTAAATTTACAAAATAAAAAACGTCATAATAAATATTTAAGATTTTATGATAGGCTCTAGAGAAAGAAATCATTAGTAACAAATAGGTAAGAAATTATTTAAAAAATTTTGCAGAAAAATTAATTATTAAAAATATATACGTATATTCGGTTTTTAATATCTGAAAATTTTTTATGTATCTAGTTCTTTATCGTAATTAGCTCTGTTAATTATAGTCTTCAAATTTTAGAATGAATATCACTCCAAAGAATAAAATCTCACTCTTAAAATTAAGCCACTTTTTTTAAAGACTGTGGTTCAATTTTCACTCTTTAGAATGAGATTTCACTTTGATGAATTTAGAGAGTAATTTTATCGAAATGATGCTTCGATATTTCGAACTTGGAATAACCCTTAAATTACGTTATAATCATACAAGAGAATCATAATCATATGAGTTTACATCTACCGTGAAAATTGATATGAAGATAGAAACAGAGAATATGAGGAAATTCGAGAAATGAAGGGCAAGAGAGGGAAAGTGTAAGCACGTGCACATGCGCGCATGTGCACGTACACTATTAAATAAGCGAAATGGGAAAATCAGACCATCAACGGGATTAGGGCCCCTTTTGCGTGATCGAAATTAATTTAGTAATTGTTAATACTGTACCAGGCAATACGACACGTACATAACGACATACCTGCTGTCGAATTCGCCAGACCGCTTAATGCTGAAACACAAAACACGTTCGCGATATTAGCAAAAGCAGAGTTGATAATATGTACACGATGTGATCACGGGAAACACTCGAAGCAGAATTTTTCCAATGATGGTGTTGATATATTTTTAAGTGCCACTAAACAATTTGTACAGTCAACGGCTTCATTTATGTCTAATTAATATATGATGAATCAAATTGCAAGATGAGTTGGTTACGTCTGCAAAAAATATTTATAATCTTTATCTTTTGCTACTATAGTATAATTATATATTACATAAGCAATTTATTATTTTAATATTTCACTAGATAAAATAAGCCTATAAAAGCAATTTTGGATACAATGGTTGCAATAAATTGTGATAAAATTGACATTTATGATTTAGGAAACACAATAAGATTTAATAATTTTTTCACAATCATATTTTTTAGTATTTTCCATATTTGTTATAATTTAATGTTTAGTTAATAAATAATTGAATATCAGAGTTTGTTTTATTAATTAAAAGATCTTACAGACAATTTACTTTTTTGACTATATACTATATATATATGCAGTTAAATATAAAATTAATTATTGAAAGAAATGCAAGAAAATACTTATAATCACATTTCTGATCTCTCATTTTGCAATATTAAGATTTACTATTTCTGTCGATCGGACTGTTCATTATAATTATTTGAAAAACTCGTTCCTGTACAAATAGCACCCTCTTTATGAGTGAAATGAAGCAAGCGATGAAGCAACCTGCATACTTGACTTACTTTGTTGTTGACTTTACATAAATCATACAAAAAGCGTTGTAAGCATGCAAAATAATGAAGATGTGTTTTCTTGATATAGGTGAGAGGTAATTACACAATTAATTACGGAAACGTACATCTTACCTGGCTTTCTACATTTATACAATTCAATATACACACAATGTAATAATATAGATTACTAAAAATTTTGATACAATCAATATCCTATCTTGGTCAATTTAATTATCATATTTAAATCACAAAAAGTGATTAATTAATTCTTTCTTAATTTAGATTTAATCATTTAATTTGCTTAATAAATGAAAAAAACAGTTAAATTTGAACATTTTTAAAGTATAATGTAAAAATAGATAACCTTTAATATATGACAAGCTCTTCTATAAATTTGAATTAAGTTTACTCAGATATTTATTAAAAAATATAGATACAAGTTAAATATATATTGTTTAATTTTATAAATAATTTAAAAATTACTTGACTTTTTTAACAAAATGTGCTTATATTAGTCAGATTCGTAAATTTTATTCGTTTATTTTTAATTAATGATTAAACCTGATGTATGTATAGTGTTTTCTTTGAAATAATCAACAAATATAAAAACGATATATTGTATTTTAGAATAAGACAGTCGGAATGTTATATTCACTTACTGATAGTATTGATGTTATTGATATTAAAATGATATTTATAACATTACAAGATAATTCCGATAACTTCATTAGAATGTCATATTAAAATACTAATTGCACCATCGTTTAATTAGTTAATCAAATTTGTTAAATATTATTTCGAAATTTCCTATTTTTTAAAACATAATGCGACTTGTAAATGTGAAATTGAGATTAGATGTTCATTCGTAAAACATTTTTTTCTCTCTTGACTGATTTTTAGAACAAATTGTTTACTGTTTAATTGTAAGTATATCTTCTGAAACACACTTTGCTCTTATAATACCGTCGTTAAAGGCTGTTAATACAATTTGCGAAGATACATATAGACACGTAGTTGCGTTATTACTGCCATTATAATCGCGGCACGACTTTGGCCGCTTTACCATGCATACCTACAAAAGCGTGGACAGTTCACCCGTTCGTCTGGAACTTTAACAACGCATGCAATCGTTAAACTCCAACTACGCTCAAGCGGATTTACCGTCTACCGCATGTAACATACGTGACGCATAAGCATACAGGTGTTTTGTACAATTGGTAGAAGGACAATATAATATGGTCCGAAGTTATGCATATAATTCGAAGCATCGGACAGTTCCGCACGGAACCTACAGCTGTACATTAATGTACGATAATGTGTTCTGCGATTATGCGTCTCGCAAAATTCTCTACTCACTGTTTGGCGACACCTGGAGATTGCCGTTTCCGCCAGTCATAGCTGCCAGAGTGACAAGGTTCTGCATACTCATTGGCGACACACCCGCATTTGCTGCAACATAATATATCAGAACTTATTGTAGAAATACTCTAGATTTATATACCGCGATGATAAATATAGCGTACTATTTAATAATTCGTAAAAAGAGCTTAACTCAAATTTGATCTAATTTGAAATAATTTAACAGCACATAAAACAGTTTTAATTTTTCTAATGGAATTTTTTTTGGCAATAAAAAAACCAAAATTTGCCTAATTTGAAATAATTTAAGAGCATATAAAACAATTTTAATTCTTCTAATGGAATTTTTTGGCAATTAAAAACATTAATATTAATATGTTAAGTACAAGGTGTCTTGAATATTTACTTTATTTAATTCATGCTTTAAGTTCTCTCTTCATGTACATTGAAAGTAAATTATACGTCACATTATATGCGTTTAGTTTGTGTATACGTGAACTCATTGCGTGCAACAACACTGAAATGCTATCAAATGACCGTACGTTCAGCAGCCATAACTAATAAATACATGTGTTACAGTAAAGTTAATGATAGACTCGTATTGAGGTATGTATATATCATCATCCTGACATCTTTCTCGATCCCATTAAACGAAGAATTTTTATTTTTATTATTGCCATGGTAAACTGGTGCAGGACGTTTCGTTATAACTTTCGAAAAGATATGACCCATGGGACGCGATCATACGCGGTGGAAGTTGGAGAATATAAGCGTGAAATGATATAATTTATTCTGACACTGATATGACTGGCGCGGACGAGTAATTTTAGTGAAGAAACGGATAAAGTTCCATTTTGCTAGCCCAAGCGAATCGATCATATTCTATAATATTTTATATCGAAATTTGATGGTGCACGATCGAAATATTTTTGAGCAAAAATAAATTATCTCTCAAGAGGAATTATATATTTAAATTTACCCGCGCTCAAGATTTACGTTTTTAACTTGTTCACGAAAATAGGTCTTCTATAAGTAACATTAGTATAGAGTAGGGTCAAAAGGTGATGCGATGAAGTTAAACTTACATATTAAAAGGGATAAGTTTAAAGATTGCAGACGTCAGTTATACTAATATTAGAAATGTGAAAGGATTGACGTAATGTATGATATAAATGTAAACGCATTAACAGACTAGATACAGTCGTTAATGCATTTACATTTATATCACACATTGACTGACGTGTGCAATCTTTAAACTTATTTAACTAAAGATACTTTTGAGAGTATTATATGATATAATCAAAAATCTCTTTTATTAATCATAAAAATCCATATTCGTGCAAAATATAAAAATAAGAAATGTCAGTAATACACATAAAAAGAACAAAATAAAAAAATGTTATCAACTTTCTCAAATGTCATAATATGTTTCATATAATGTTTCATAGAATTTTCTTGCAGTCTTAAAATAAAAAAAAGTAAAAGAACATGTTAATCTGTCATTACATAAATACTCACACAAACTAGCGCAAGACAATAGAGATGATAACTATTTATCGATTTCAATATATTTATATACGTACATACACTAATATTCATCTATAATTCAATAAAAGTTTTTAATAATCGTTGGAATAACGTTAATACGATGGATAATAATTTCAATAATTTATGTTTTGAACATCATTATGTTGAAAATATTTAATCTCGTTTCAAGAGAGATTGGATTTCTACTAATCTTATTTAAATCGTCATCAAAAATTGGAAATCAAATAAGCGCAAATAAGCGAAAATAAAAAATGAATAATCGACACTAACCATACTCACCAGCAGTGTTGCTCAGAGACGCGAGGGTGGCTAAACTTTGCAAATTCGCAGGGTTGATTTCTGCTGGACTAGGTACAGCGGGGGGTGCTGCGTGCGCAGGTGTTGCCGCGCCAAGGCCAAGGTGTTGTTGTAACAGTAACTGATGTTGTACATTCGACAGTGCATTAGCCGCTCCCGCATTCGCGGCGACCGGAGTCGCGGCACTCGTCGTCGCCTGCAACTGTTGCAGAAGCTGCAACGATGCAGGCGCCAAAGTATGCGCATCGTTCTATGAGTACAAACGTGAATAATCAATAATCACAGTCGCTGTTATATCTCATAAATTCATCGTATCTATTTCAAAATTTTTATGAATTATTTGAGAATATCCCATTTTAATTCTACCATAAAAGCCATTAATTTATAAATTAAATATAATTAATACAAAAACTTTTATTTCTAGAATTTAAACATCGTTCAATTTTTAATTAAGCTTTTTATCAAATTTCTACTAAGAAAGGATTAACCGCAAATTTGCCAAAGGATACGCTTGTAGAGCTTAATCCGAATCTCATGAAACGTTCAATAGAAACAAAGCTTTGGTGTAGCCACTATACGTGTTCGAAGAATACAGATCATGTTCCTCAAAAAAAACGTTTGAGTTCTTTTTTTAAATATATTTTGCATAACAAAATTGAGATTGCTATATAGAAAGTCACAAAGGATAGATAATGCATACGAATGTAAGGCGCTCAAACGATAGTGCCTCGTGAAGAGTTCTCGTTCTCGATGCAAATGGAATCTTTGATATCAGCCAAAGAGCTTTTATTATAAAATATTAAGTACACGTACGGCTAGGTAATGCGGTGTGATGTTGACTCCCGCGATGTTCCAGAGATTCGACTGAAGTTGCTGCATCCTCTTCTGGTCCTTTTCCTTTTGCGTATCGGCGAATTTTACGACTAATGGCGACGAACAGCCCTGAAAATTGCACGATGCGTTATAATGCTGCGTAAACAATATATAAAATATAAGAAATATAAACAACGTTGATTAATGTCACAATTAAGATTTAACAAAACTAAAATTATTAACAAAAAAGTATAATTCATACACACAGTAACAAATATTTAAACTATATAGAATTATTTAATAAACTGCCATAGTTTTAAAAACGTTTTTCATTGAATAATCTATGCTATAATCTATAATAAAAATTTGGAAATCTTATGTTATTATCAATTCAATCTTAAAAGAGAATTAGGAAATTTATAAAAATAAATCTTGCCTTGTCATAATAGCAATTAAATATTTCAAAGCTCCAATAATATGATTGATAAAATGATTACGATTTGAATGAAAATAAATAAATAATTATTTTTCCCCCATATAATTTCTGTTAAAACTCTAAGAAATATTTATATCTCAAAACTGTATTAATATTTTAGTGATAATGCCTTGTTTTCTGTCAATCCAATTTCTTGAACATGCTTTTGCTATAATTTGACATTCCTTTCGTTAGCTCAGAACATTAGCTGTATTTCGTACCGAGCGTTTTACACCTGAATCCGGCGTACATTATTGGTTCAAGTCCAAGTTCAACATTGGCGTGAGAACGGGATTTGCAGGCAATCGAGTACTACTGTATTGGTGGAAAGAGAAACTCATTCGACGGTACGCGAGACGATATACACACGAGGTCGATGCACCATGTACAATGCGCCTGCAATTGGAGACGCGAAATCGGCGTGCCGGTTGTGCCGGTAGTGACGAATGAGCAAGTTCGAAGAACCTGCAGCCGGAAATATTCGTGATATTAAAGTGGAATTGCCTTCGTGCCCGCATGTCTTGGCACACTCGCGTTTACCAACGAAATAGTACATTGCAAAGGCGTATCGTCGCTAAATATATCTCGTGAAGTGATTAATGAAGTTGTTAAGTATTTAAATGAGTATTTCTTATATTAATGAAACAAAATTATATATTTAACAACCGAATACCGCAAGGCCGCATTAAAGGAAATATCTTGATATTAATTAGAATATTTGATATTATATAAATAGATGAACCAAAAAATTTTATCTTTTACTTTAAAATAAAAAAAAATGTTATGTATCATAATCTATAGCGCAAAAATATTCACAGAAAAAATATGTTAACATATTTATGTGGAAAATGAATTAAATAATATATGAATTAAATATAATATTTAAGAAAGTATCAGTTATACCTAGAGAAAATATTTATAAATTTTTGAGAAATCGCAAATCAATATAGAATTAATTGTTTCCTTGTCAAAATTTTTGTAGGGACTATAGCAAAAGGGGCGGGATAGATATTCTTCTTAACATATAATTTAATTGTTATATTTTTAACATATAAATAGATAATATCGCAATATAACATTGACAATATCGATTTATGGTTTTCGAGCGATGCCCTAAGGAGATTCGGAAATTTATCTGTCCAATTCTCTCTCTCTCTAGCGTTTGCGAAAGCTTAGATGCTGTAGTAGTAGTATGGAGCAATGAAAGAAGGAGGAATAGAAAAGCTTGGCGAGCTTTGAATCGCCAAGGTGTCGACCAGTTCAGCCGTCTTTACTCTCTCGCTCGGTTTTAGTTACTCTGAGTTAAATCGGTATATTTCACTGAGGTGACTAGTCGGATTGTAGATGCACACATGGATGTTTCGACGAGTGACAATGGCATCTAGCCAATACATCCGACGACTCGGTTGAATTGCCATGAAAAGAAACGATCTACGAAGACTTTGTATGCGACCCGCTTTGTGTCGTCATCTGCCCCCAGTCTTCCCGACACTGTTTTCTCCGCTTAAAAGATCGGAGTCCTCACGACCCAGTTCTTTCTTGCAACATAAATATGAGAGCAGATTGCATGTCTTCATTGGATTGCTCATTATTTTCACAAGCAACTTTTCAAAAAAGTTTTCATTATTATCTTTTAGTTAATTGTAGAAAACGTATATGCAAAAAAGTCAATAGTGGAAAAATAAAAGATGAAATTATCATTGAATGATAGATTAATAAACGGTACGCGACTAAAGAAGTAAATAAATGAATAAAACCTATCATATTCTTATAAAAGCTGCATCATCCCTGTACGAAAAGTTGCCACTGTATTCTCAATTTATTATAAAAGATAGAATATTAGATGACGCTATTGCGATTATTAATCAAGATGTTATAGTAAAGCTGTTAAAGTTGTAGTAAACTATCTAATAATTTGAACACTAGTTACCATGCTTTACGCATCAAAACTTAGAAATTTCTGACATCAAGATTAACTTCCATACTTTGATATACATATATAGATTAAATTATATTAATTATATAAAATCCATAACGTTTATTCATATCAAAATTAGGAATATTAATTAATTACAAAATTAATAACTCCAATCATTTTAAGATTAATAACTAAGATCAAATTTTTATTTAATTTTCAAATATAGGGTTGTATTTAAAAATATTATATAAAATGTCTCCGTTTATAATTATACTCACCTCCATTGTCTGGGAATGATGCAGAGCTTTGATGGCATTGATCGCGTACTGCTTACTAGCGAAGGTAACGAAGGCACAGGCTTTACTTTTCCCGGTGCTGTCCCTCAGCACCGAGCATTCCTCGATCATTCCGTAAGCGCTAAACATGTTCCTAACATCGTTTTCTGTGAATTTTTTCGATAGCATCCCAACGAACAGTTTGCGCTCTGTAATGATAAAATATAACTTCCATTAGCGATTGTTTGCAGTATCGCGTCATCATAGAATCATCATGAAAAGTGAACAGACGTATTTCGTTTGTAATATGTGCGATCTTAATAATTCAATGATAGCACCCGGAAGACAATCGCCTTAAAGATAATATGTGATTATTCATCCTTGATATGATTGTATATTTAATTAGTTAGTGAGAAAATGTCTGGCTGAGTAATCATACAATCGAATGATCAACATAGCTATAGTCAATTGTCATTAACAGAACATATACTATTACAGAATGCTATTACTGGAGAATTACGTGGTGGATAAATTAAGTGCATTACTCATTCTTATTGCGCTTCTTATAACTAGATAGTTCAATTAACTAATATTTTTCTATAATTACATGTATATATATATATATATACCTTTAAATTATCGAAGACAATTCAAAGATATAATCTTCCCTATTTCTTCTTTCTATTTTTTACGGTTATCATGACTATAACAGTGAGAATCATTATTGATTATCTCACAAGTAGTATCGGCACTTTGCATGTGCCATTATGGTAATAGAGTTTGCATAACATCAAAAGAATTAGAATATTAAACATGAAAAAAATTCTTTTACCAAGCGTTACGTAAAATTAACTATTTTCCTATTCTTTATACCAAGTTCTGGTTATCTAAACTTGTTAGCGAACTCATTAAAAGTTTTATAAATGGCATTCATGACCAATTATTATCATTCGTGACATATTTTATATCATGAATGAAGGATTAATATTCTGCAGATTAAAGGTTAACAATTACCATCTAATATTCTCGGCTGCGAGTAGCACCATCGATTAATTGAAAAAAAAACCAAGTGTTTTATTCGATATAACGTTCTTAAACTTTGACTCACGTCGTCTCGAGCCGAGGTCACAAGTGACATCATGATTTCCCATCTCGCCCACCGTTTAATAAGCGTTTACGGATAATGCGGACAGTGGCTAGCTATGGGCCATTTGACGACGGTACAGACCACTAGAAGAGGCGACCTGGTCAATATTTGTTTAGGACCGGGAGAAAAGCTTCACCTAGAGAAAAGCCGCTTATGTAAATTCGGCATCGCGGGGGATAGGCTAGGCAAAATACTCGAATATATCTCTCGAGTCTATCTTCGCTTCTCTCATCCCTGTCACGCGTATTCAATTCTCTTATGGATCTTCTCGGTGTTAATGCACCGCTTATTCTGCGAGAACGTGGTGTACATTAAAAAAATCGAAATAATAAAATTTTGCGTTGAAATTACGACGTATTATACACAATGCAAGTTTTTTTTTATTTTTAAACTCGGTTAATGCAGGATACAAATTTTTTTTATCTTGTTATTAAAGAGTTTGATATTCAAAATTATGAATTAATGAAGTTGTATGCTTTAATTACTAATTTTATATGTATACATATATCCGAATAAGTTTTAGGAATCAACATTCGCTCAGTAATTATAAAATCCATGTGATAATAATGTTTCGTTTTGTGCAATCTATAGCATGTGAATTTTTTGGCTGCAAAGATTGAACTTTTGTATTATCATTCCTGAGTATTCACTTTTGCATAAATGCTGCGTGTATTAGATATGCAACAGTGACTCGCATCATATTAATTAATATTTCAGTGCCCTAATAATGTGGACTAATGTATTAATATTAATGTCGAACTATGCAAATTCGCCAGCCAACAAGAGGGCTAAACATGACGAGCATTAATATGTGAAAATTGTGGCTCCCTGTCAAATGTTGCTATCCAATTCGCGCGATATCAAAGGAACTCGATGCTGCGTTTCAAGCTATGCGTAGCCATACTAGAGCGAATTGAAATCGAGAATATATCGATTTATAGTGCGTGGAATGTATCCATAGAAGTTGATATCAAATTCACGGTACAATTGCGTATGATCGTGTTTCCGGAAATCACCAATACGCTTTATGTGCAAATAATTACGGCCCATAATGCTGACAAATAATGCCATGACTACATTTTGTAATGCTTACTGTACAATGAAATATAAGAGATATTAATAATATAAAATGTACTGCTTTGAAATTCGTTATTACATTTAACAATATTAATAAGAATAACAATTTATTTTTATAATAAACACTTGTACTAATAAATTATACGATAATATAAAATATATTGCCTTGTGAAATACATTATTACATTTAAATAATGATAATATTATTAGTTTAATATATTAGTTTTTTATAACAAACTTTTTTATTAATAAAAGTTATAACGTTATAGCTTTACATGCCAATTATTCCCGATCATTTTTACGGTATTTTATAAAAGTGATATTGACACCGCGATACCAGTTTTCGAGCAATTGTAAATCCTAAAACAAAGCCTTTTGCTTGAAAAATTTGATTCCTGCATCAATTCAATCTATCCAGATAAAAACTTCCTGTGACAATGATCCTCTTTGCGTTTAACGAGACGTATTTAAGGGGTTGTGTCTGACCGAAACGTCCAAAAAATAACAAAAAAAAAATATACTGAGACCAGGGGATCAAGGTTTGCCCAGAGGTTGATCCGTGCCGCGGGGAAGAGCAGAAAGGGTGAGAAGAGCACTGAATATATCGGTCCAGACTACGGCAAACTCGTCCGCAGTTAACGATTTAATTAATTTCGCAGCCCCTAGCGACCGGATACCCGCGGTTGCCAACGACGGATCGGATTTCCCGCGGAAATCGAATGAAAATTTTAAGCCCTTTCCCTTCGCGGGGGAAATACGGTGTAAAAAGGCAACCAGCTGGGGAGGGGAGGGGAACGGAAGACAAATTCTCCTCTCTTCCTCACCCCTCCTGCGTTCCAGCGAAACTGCGGCTTTCGCGGAATGTTTATTAAATACCGAAGGTGCTGGTTTATGCCCATCCCTTTTCCTTCTAAACGGACCGAAATTTTTCGCCCATTGCTACCAAGAGGGATGGATATTATCAGTGTGCGAAAGTCAGCGTAACGAATATTTCGAGATCGATGAAGGATGGAGTCGTGGTCAAATACGAAATAAAGAGGCAACTCGAACCGCTGCAGCTGTCTTGGTACCGTCAATTTAATTAATATATAAAAATAATACGTGTGAAAGATTTTGACAGAAAAGGAAAACATACAAATTATTGACAAGTAGATTGTAGGAGAAAATTTTTAACAATTACTAAAGGAAAATAAAAAAAAAACGAAAAACGAAAAGAAAAGAAAATATTTATAAAGTTAATCAACTTGTTAAAATTGGGATAGAATCAATTAATTCCGTCATTCATAATTTCGTACTTCTAAATATTAATAAGTCAATTTTCGTATGAAATAGCCACTGTAAATTTGGATTTTCACAGTCAATCGCAATAGAATTCGTTTTAAAAATGTATCAGTAACTTTAGAATTCTCGGAGCCAGAACCTTATTAATTATATCGAAACTTTGAAAATAGAGTGCTACTTTCATAGGAGTTCTATACACATACACATATATATATATATATATACGAAATATTTGTACAATATAGCTATAATAATATATAGCTAATCCTAGATAATGCTTCTCCTACTGTGCCATCGGGATACTGTCGAGCTTATTGTAATCACATTTAAGGCTATTAACGTGAGAATAAAATAAGAGCGCGATACGAAGCCACTGGTCTCTGTAACTGCATTTGTAATGTAATTCACGTGCAAACTAGATACGACGCAACGTCGGATCATGCAGGCGGATATGAGATGCAGATCGCGCCTGCTGGAATGTTTGCATCGCACCGAATATTCCGTTAGGATGTCTGCAGCACGTCGTCGCGGAATACGTGCATCAAAGTATTGCGCATAGTCTATCGATCGAGCTTTATAAGATCTGCATAATAAACGAACACAATAATATTATAGAAGTCATTATAAATTACAAGTACCATGCAGCTTTTCATACTGGCACAAAATGATTTGCACAATTGTTCGATTATTAGTTAGAATTTTCGAAAGATATGATATATATGTAATTTAAACACGTTTTTATGTAAAAAGCAATCCACAGAGAGAACACAAACTAACAGTAATATTACATCAATGTTACAATTTCCTATTTAATTATGTAATTATTATGTATAATTGTTATAATGTGCAATTGTATTATGTTAAATTACATGTTATATTACATTTACATTGTCAAGTGAGAAGTTATAATATTGATGTAATTACTATTAGTTTTCCATAGGAATGCACTATTCAATTTTCAGTTCTAAATTCACCTTACCTAAAATGTTCATAAAATTTAAAATAACTGAATAAATTTTATATTTATATCGTTTGTACAAGATAATCTTGCAAGTATTGAGTAAATGCAATTCATAACATATTTATGTGTGATAAGAATATTATATACATATAGATTATATCAAATAATCTTTATCGTTATCAAAGTCAGCATCGGAGAATTATTGCTAACATAATGTTGCTTTTACTAGTTTCGCTGATGAAAAACAATTTGTTTACATTCCGTACGATTAGTCAGTGTTAATGATAATTTACTCGCATCCGCGAGAAAGCGTTTATTCGATACAAACAGGTGTCTAACTTCCACAAACGAAATGCTTGTGGCCAACCGGTGGCCAATGCGGTCACTTGTGTTCGATTCGATCTCCTTCTATGCATCTCACGGGCCCATTCACAACTTGTGCAATTAAATCGCAGCCTGCGAAACGTGATAAGTTTTCCAACGAATTTCCGAGCCAGGCATTTCAAATCGATCGTCGTGCTCCGATATGCAACCAGCAACCTTCCACACCGTCGTTCCTTACTCGATTTCGCCTTTTTCGCGGCACGATGCGCCGAAGCGCGAGACGTTGCGAATAAACCAACGCTCTTACAGACCGGAAAAAAGACCAACTCGAGATTAGGATCATGCATGCAAATGCGGACAAGCGAGGGAGCATTGGAATTTCGCGTTGGAAGACGTTTCGATGTGCCTTTCCGAAATGC